GAACTTACCTCTTGGTGGGGGGGTCGGGGGGCCAGGCCCCTTGTTCTCAAGAAGCCTTGGTTGCCAAACTTCAGGGCAATGCAGCCTTTCCCAGGCCAGGACGCGTGTCTGTGCCAGAGCTGCTGCTTCCTGAGCCAGCGAGGTCCAGTGGCCCCTGGAGTGCTTGGTGGGGGGGGGGGGGGGGAAGGCCTGGAAATGGGAGATTAAGGACAAAGAGGAGAGTTGGGAGACTCAGAATGAAGGCATATGCTCCGGAGGGCTTCTTGGGAACACAGAGTTGGGGTTGGAGAGGTGGTGGGGGCAAAGCTGCTTTTATTTATTTATTTATTTTGGGTCATGCCCAGCAATGCACAGGGGTTCTTCCAGGCTCTGCACTCAGGACTCACTCCTGGTGGTGCTCCGGGGACCATATGGGATGCTGGGAATAGAACCCGGGTGGGTCGCGTGCAAGGCAAATGCCCTTCCCGCTGTGCTATTGCTCCAGCCCCGGAGATGCTTTCTATGTGTGCGAAGGGCCAGAAAGGGAAAGGGGTTTGAAGGTGTTGGCGCTGCAAAACCAAAAGTCCAGGAAGGAGCTTTCAGTCTAGCCTGGGCAGTTCCCCTCTCTGCTGAACACAATCTGACTTCAGAGTAGGCGGCTTTAAATTCAGTCTCTCAGGGGGCCGGAGAGAGAGTGCAGTGGTTAGTGTGCAGGCTTAGCATGCTGCCAGCCGCCGTTCGATCCCTGGCATTCCACGAGCCCCCAAGTATGACCAAGTGCAGCCTTCAGGGACCCCTGGGATCTTCCAGAGTGGCGGGGTAACTCCCAGGGCCACAGGGCCTGAACAGCGAATGATCAGCTTGGTGGGCCAAGGCTACCTGAGCACTGCTTGGGAGCCCCTTCCCCTGGCAATGGATACATTTAGACTCCTCAGCACTGTAAGCAGGAGTGTATACTTCTGACTCTCATTCATCTGGAAGTATTCAGGGGCTGCTTGTGGCATGAATGCAGCCCTCTGGAAAACGCCGGAAGCATCAAGAGTGTCCTTAGGGTCCTCACCTGCAGCCCTCTTCCACCTCCAGCTCCAGGGTGCTGGGCTGGCGGCCCTGAGTGTGAGCACACACGGGTCGTGTGCATGCGGTGTGTGTGTGAGGCTGTGGGAGGCGGGCTGGAATCTCGGCATCAGCCCTGTGCTCTCTGCTCACTGCCGAAATCTTCCACTGTCTCACTGGGTGACCTTTCATGAGTCACACGTTCCTTTGTTTTGTTCTGCGTTAAGTGGAGATCCTCAGGCTTGCTGGTTCCTTAAGCAGTTCTGGGCCTTCAGGTGCTTTGATTTCTCAGAAGTCTCTCCTGATTTTTCCCTCTGGAGTCTTACAAGAACGAGAGGGTGGCAGCCTCACTGGGCTGGGGACCTGGTGCTAAGGGTCCCTGGGGCGAGTGCGGGGAGGAGAGGGCAGGCCAGGAGCACCAGGCCAGGACACGGGCCTGGCTGTCCAGAGACTGGCATTCTGGGGAATGAACTCAACTCCCGGGGTGTGGCAGCTCCCTCTGGGCCAGTGGGAAGGGGTGAGGATGAAGGGCCCAGATGATGAGAAGGGAATCAGCTTCAGGTTGGAAATACAGCCATGGATTGAGTGTCGCAGAGAAGCGATGTTCCAGGTCCCAGGGAGTGGGATGGGACTCGAATGCACCAGGGACCAGATGGCTGGAGTGCAGGAGATGACTGTCAGGGGATGGGCAGGCAGGGGACCAGCTGGCTCTACGGAAGCGCTGATGGGCTCATCTCGGTGTCATACAGGGCTGGTGAGCCGGTGGCATCTGGGATACCGTTCCTGGCCCTGTGTGTCCATAGGAACCGTCCCCGTCTCTCCTAAGACACTCTCCTGCCACACTAAGCAAAACCTTGGAATCCTTTGGTAAGGAATTTTGGCCCATGATGTCCAAAAACTGACATCAGTGTAGAGACTTACTGTCACTGGTGTTACAATGGAGCCTTCGGAGCCTAGCAGAAGTGACAACCCAGCCAGGTCAGCTTTGAGGCACTGGGCAAACAGATCTGCCTGGTAACTTTGGTTTGCTTAAGTTTTTTGTTGCTGCCTGGTTCAAGTTAGTGTAAACCGCCATGTTCGAGTCACAGACTCAGAAAGCGCAACGTAGGACTGCTGTCAGGCATGACACAGGACCCCAAAGAGATTTGTCTGCCTTTGAGAGAGTCTCCAGGGCTGCAAATGTTCCAAGTGTCTAAGCTGGGCCAGGTAACTCTGAATTGGCACCCCCCCCCCACCCTCAAAGAGATGAGGTTGGTGGTGGCATGAGAATTTCTAAACAATCATTCATACCAGAAGCAAAAGTTACGGGAGAGTCAAATGTAGAAGGATGAGCTCAGGTAGGAGTGGGGAGAGGTGACTGTGAGCGGCGCTGAGTGGGTGTCTAAGTGCTTGTGAGTTGGGCCAGGAGAGGGACTTTCACGTGGTAGCTCATTCTGGGCCCAGCTATCTCTCTGGAAGAACCTTACATATGTGGATCAGAAAAGAGGGCCTGTGTGCGGGAGGGAGTGTTCTGAATTGATGATGACACAATTAATCGGCCTGGCCACCTGGCCAGAGTGGCCTGCGTGACTGCTGTGACACTCGTCCTCACTGCCCACGGCCTCCCCCTGTTCTCTGTGGCTCCTCTGCGTCTGTCTGCACGTGACTTGTGGACACTATCCAGGTTATACCTCTATTCTTGGGAGCGTTCAGATTTGGACCCACAGTAAGCCCATCACTTGGCAAGCCTTGCGGGCTTCTCAGGTGAGGCATCCTATCTTGCACACCTGAGGCATGCCCGCCAAATGCACGGAGTGTCCCGGGGAAAATTGTGAAGGCTTTGCTTATCGATGTCCTGTACTCCAGAGCTCGCCAGTGCCCACCCAGACTTCCTTTTGATGGGGGCCCTCCATCCCTCGCCCGCCAACCCCAGTTACACACAACTGCCTTTCCCCCACCTATCAAAGGCAGTTTAGCAAGTCACCAAGTGAAGCAGCTGGTACCAGCAAACCCCTGCTGACTTCTAGTTTTTGTGGGTCAGGAATTCAGCCAGGGTGTGACGGGGCGGAGATTCTGGCTTTGGCAGGTGGTGGTGGCGGGGTCTGTCTGGAGGTTGAAGTTGGCGGGTGAGGAGTGACGGGGCTGGTTGGGATTCTTTTCCTCTGCAGACTGTCTCTTTGCGTGGGCTCGCTGGGCTTCCCACAACATGGCCCGTCTCACATGGTGGCTGACTTTTCTCAGAGCATCATGGCGCCATTGTTGCCTTTTGTGATCTGGCTTTGGAATTCACACACGGTCACTCCTACTATACTCTGCTGGTCCAAACAGTTGCTAAAGGCCAGTCCGCCTCCTGGCAGAGGGGGCTGAGTTCATTTCTCAGTGCGGGGAGATCACAGAATTTGCTGCCATAACTTAACGCTCTCATAGTCCTCTTACCACTCAGCTCCCAGATGGGGTTGAGTTCCCTGGATCTGAACTTCCTTCGGCCTGCGCTCTCATTTCACTGTGCTTCATTTTATTTTATTTTTCTTCTGTACTCGAGTATAGAGCTTTGAATAGGTTCATTTGCCATCACTGGTTCCTACAGTGGCTTTCTCGTTCACTTACTAATCATCTCTTTATCCCCTTCGCTGACCCTCCTTCCCTGCTGCATCTTCCTCAGCCAGTTTCCTCACTGTCACTGTCACTGTCCTCCCATTGTTCATCGATTTGCTCTAGTAGTCATTCTATTGTGTGTTCTTCTATGCTCCACACACTCTTCAAAGACTGCATTTTATCTTACATTGCTTTGGGTGTTTATCTTTTTTTTTAATTTTTATTACTGAAACACCGTGAGGTACAGTTGTAGACTTACAAATTTTTGTGCTTGGGTTTCAGTTATACAATGATTGAGTCCCCATCCCTCCCCCAGTGCCCATTCTGCACCACCACAAATCCCAGTATCCCTCTCACCCCCATCCCCCCATCCCACCCTGCCTCTGTGGCAGGGCATTCCCTTTTGTTCTCTCTCTCTTGTTTTGGGTGTTTATCTTTTACTGCGCCTTCCCTCTCTCTTTGGCATGGTGGTTCCGAGGCCCGTGTGTGCTGTGCCTTATACATTGCATGTCTTGTCCACCTAGAATAAAGGAATGAGACTAGAGACTGTGAGTGCTGAATCCAGGGTCAGAGTCAAACATAAACTACATCGATTTCTTTCTTTCTTTCTTTCTTTCTTTCTTTCTTTCTTTCTTTCTTTCTTTCTTTCTTCTTTTTGGGTCATGCCTGGCGATGCACAAGGGTTACTCCTGCCTGGCTTTACACTCAGGAATTACTCCTGGCGGTGCTCAGGGGACCATATGGGATACTGGGAATTGAACCTGGGTTGGCCGCGTGCAGGGCAAACGCCCTACCTGCTATACTATTGCTCCAGCCTCTACATCCGATTTCTTCTTCCTCTGCATAATATTTGTTATTTCCATATGCCACTTCCCAGGCTCCTGCACTAGTTTGGAACTAGCACAGCGGGTAGGGCGTTCGCCTTACAAGCGGCCAACATGGCCGACCCGAGTTCGATTCCTCCGCCCCTCTCGGAGAGCCCGGCAAGCTACCGAGAGTATTCGATATGCCAGACGCAGTAACAACAAAGTCTCCAATGGAGACGTTACTGGGCCCGCTCGAGCAAATCGACGATCAACGGGAGGGCCTTTACCTTACCTTTACCTTTACTTAAAAAAATATTTTTAGGGGTTGGAGCAATAGTATAGCGGGTAGGGCATTTGCCTTGCACGTGGCCAACCCGGGTTCAATTCCCATCCCATATGATCCCCCTGAGCACCGCCAGGACTAATTCCTGAGTGTAAAGCCAGGCAGGAGTAACCCCTGTGCATCGCCAGGCATGACCCAAAAAGAAAAAAAAAATTTTAAAATATTTGAATGTAGGATCCAGAGAGGATCACAAGTTCTTTGGTTTTTTTCTTGACTGAACTGATGGGTCTCTCCTCTACTTGCAGGTTCCAACTATGGGAGCCCGCGCCCAGCTCATGCCAACATGAATGCCAATGCCGCTGCGGGGCTCGCCCCTGAGCACATCCCCACCCCAGGGGCAGCCCTGTCCTGGCAGGCGGCCATTGATGCAGCCAGGCAGGCCAAGCTGATGGGCAGCGCCGGCAACGCCACCATCTCCACGGTCAGCTCCACACAACGTAAGCGGCAGCAGTACGGGAAACCCAAGAAGCAGGGCAGCACCACTGCCACACGCCCGCCGCGGGCCCTGCTCTGCCTGACGCTGAAGAACCCCATCAGGAGGGCCTGCATCAGCATTGTAGAATGGAAGTATCCTTGGTGCCTGGGGCCTGTCCCTGGCTGCTGTGCTGAGACCCCGGAGTGTATAAAATCTCCGGGGGGGGGGGGGCGGTGCGACCAGGGGGAGGCTCTTTCCCTAGCCGCCTGGGTGCGGATGGGCCTGGGCCACTCCCCCAGCCAGGGCGGCCTGGGCCATGGGGCAGGCGGCCGAGGAGACGAGGGCCAAGCCGGTTGGTTGATCAGATGCCGCTTATTCCATTCTCCCCACGCGCCTGCCCCAGTCCCTCTGAGCCCCCCATTCAGTCTCACACTGCCCCTCTTACCCGGCTCCTCCTGTCTCTCCCGCTCATCTCTCCGCGTGCCATCTCTCATCCTGGACTCTCTCTCTCTTCATGAGCCTGCTCCAATATTGTTCTACATTCTTCTCCTTCTGTTCCCCTTGCTAGTCTTTCCACACTCTGTCTCACAGCCCTGCGCTCTCTCTCTCTCTCCCTCTCTCTCTCTCTCTCTCTCTCTCTCTCTCTCTCCCCCCCTCCTCCCCAGCTCTCTTGCTCCTCCAGCTCTCCAGCACACTGGGCCAACACTGCACCCAGTCAGGTAGCAACATCAACATAAGAAAGCCCTTCCTGGGGGCCCACCAGGTTCAAAGGGAACACCACCCAAGAGGTATTCCAAAGCCCTTCCTGACTGCCCAGGGGCAAAATACCTCCTAAGGTGTTTTCTCCTTTCCTCAGTCCAATAACTCTATCAGCATCTTAATACTGGTTATTTTTGTATGGACACAGTAAGAGATAACATTGAGACTTGTAGGGCAGCTCTCCTCGGAACATCTTGCCACAGACTCAGATTACAGTGCTCAGGCCAGATTCATCATTTCTAACCCTAGCAGGGTCCGAATCTAGTTATTGCTTTTTGGATCATGACAGCATCTGTCCATGACCAAGCTCTTAACTTACAGTTAAGCATTATGGCACTTTGGCCAGGCCCATCTCAATGCCAGGATAGCACACGGCTTACCGCTTGTCCCAGTTCCATCCAGTCCCTTGTCGGGATCCTGCTTTGGGGGCGCTAGGAAGAAAGGGCAGCTGAGGCTAAGGTGAGAGAACAGATGCCCAGGAGGAAAATATCACTGAGAGTCACATTACAAAAGCATAGCATGTACTGGAGACGTTACTGGGCCCGCTCCAGCAAATCGATGAACAACGGGAGGGCCTTTACCTTTTTTACCTTTTGTGTCCATACAAAAAGGACATTTCTCTGAATAAACTATGCAAAGGACTTAGGGAGAAGAGAAAAACAATATTTACAAGTCAACAGAGCACAAAGAAAGAAGTTACAGATAAACACAGAGGAAGGGGAGCACTGTGATGGGAGCAACCCAAAAAACCTATGCTACCTGAGGCTATGCAGGAAGGACAAAATCAGTGTTATCCTACAGTGGAAGTCTCATCTCTGTACATCAATATGCAGAGCTGGGAGCGGGTGGCCCTACCCTGGGTTTGAGAAATCATTATCTCTGGGGATAGGACCCAAAATTTTCTTTGTTTGTTTTGGGGCCACACTCAGTGACGTTCAGCAGTTACTCCTGGCCCTGTGCTCAGGAATTACTCCTGATGGTGCTCAGGGGACAGTATGGGATGAGGGGGATTGAACCTGGGTCAGCGCTAGGCAAGGTCAGCATCCGACCCCCTGTACTAGCATCCCAGGTGTCTTGCTTTGTGTTGGTGGCGAAGTTCTGTTTTGTTTTTAAGTTTTTTTAAATTATATCTGGCAGTATTTGGGGGAACCAGATTGTGAAACGGATTGAACTCAGAATCCCCATTGTGCAAAGCATGAATGCGACCCTCTGAGCTCTCACTCCAGCCCTTGATTTGTGAGTTCGGGTGTCACAAACAAGGTTTGAGAAAACAAGCCTGAGAGATTGTGAAGGCTCCTCTGACTGGAGCTCACCCGAGCTTGCCCAGGGACCCGCGGGGGTGCTGGGTTGATCACGTTACACGCTAAGGCCCTTTCCCTTCATGGGATGGGCATAGTTCCACGACCTCCCTTCTGTCAGGAGTCAAATTGCAAAGAGCATTGTGGTCAGTGGCCCGAGCTCTTGGTTCAAGGCCTAGCACCTTGATTTTCAACCTTGGGAGCATTTTAAGTGTTGCTGGGGAGTTATAATGAAACACCAGAGTTGGCACTCATTGGAAAACTCTCTGGTGCATTCTAATATGAAGCCAGAGTGAGAAGGAGCCGTCTGGAACTTTCTGCGAAGATGCACTCTGACTAAACATGCAGAAACCAGCAAATGAGTCCCTCGGACAATAACCAGGGCTTTGAGGGGTCAGCCTCTCTCAGGGGTTACAGCTTCCTCCTTACCACCCGAGAACTGAGAACCACGGGCGCGTGGAGCTGGGAGGCACCGCCAGGGTCCTAGGGCCTCCCTCTACTTCCCCAGTGCGAACCTCTCAGGCCAGTCATTGCACTCGGTGGCAGGTGGGATGGGACCAGGACTTAGTGTTGGGCGCGTTTGTATAGGAATTTATTCACAGGCCAGGGGTGTGTGGCTGAACCAAAGGGCACTTGTCTTGTGTATGAGGCCCCGGTTTTGATGCCCAGCACCCAGAGATGAAATGAAAAGAAAAGCTTTTCCTTTCGAAGTGCTTATGTGTCAGAAGCAAGCTGATTTCAAGGAACAGACAGTAAACGGCACTGCCCAAAGATACGGTGGCGACAGCCTTGACCCAGTGGCCCCTGCATCTGGGCTGGGGTCCTTTCCCCATCATGTTCCTGCCACCTTTGTTCTGCGTGCTCGTAAGCCACCAGGCCCCCAGAGCCAGTTTCCTCATCTAATGGGGAGTGGCCACAGATACCTTCCAAAATGTCCCCAAGGTCATAGTGATCCCGTCTCTGTTCAGTCACCCCACCCTCCACGATCACTCTGGACAAGAGTTGAGTGCTGAAAGGATGGAAAGGAATGTGCATGATAACCTTTCAGTATCTGTATTGCAAACTGTAGTGCCCGAAAGGGAAGAAAGAGGGAGAAAAAGAGAGAGATAGGAAGAAGAGGGAGGAAGAGGAAGAGGAGGAGGAGGAGGAGAAGGAAGAAAAGTGTCTGCCATAGAGGCAGGCTGTGGGGAGTGGGGGTGGGGGGTGGTTGGTGGGAAGGAAACGGGGGACATTGGTGGTGGGAAATGTACACTGGCGAAGGGACGGTGTTGTTCACACTGTATGACTGGAACCCAGTCATGAACAACTTTGTAACTGTATCTTACTGTGATTCAATAAAAAAAAGAGAAAACATATTTAAAGTAAATATATGTATATATTTATATATAGCGAAAAGGCTCCCCAGGAGTCTCCTGGAGGAGCTTTATTGAGTGTGCTTTGGAGGCTGTGGATACTGTGGCCCTTGGGAACTTTGGAGAGATTGTTCCTTACAAACTCAAACCTGCTTTGGTATCTCCATTAGCTCTATGCTCCTAAGACAGTGCTCCAGCCTCTCCATTTAGAAGTGGGGTCAGCGCTGTCCAGGCCAGGCAGGGCATTTGTGCAGAGGGCCGAGAAGGGTGCCTGGCACAGCTAAGTCCCCGTGAACACTAACTGCTGCCCTTCCTGTTGCCATCTCCACGTCCCGTGGGCTCGGCCAACTGCAGGGTCAGCCTATTGGCAAAGAGGGGCTTGAATGTCCACTCCTGGTTCTGGTCTGCTTGCCAGCGAGAGAGCCTGGGCCTCTGTCAACTTGGGAGGTGGGGCAGGTTCGCTCCTGCCGTGTCTAGAGGTCAAGGCCTGTACCGGAAATGACCGCATGAGACTGAGGTCGCTCAGAGTTCCGCTGGGAAGGCTGGGGTGGACACACTCATGGAGATCCCATCTCAGAACTGTGTCTGTCACATGCCCATGGCAGGGGAGGAGCGCTGGACTCTGACCACAGGCCTGGCCCTAGTCTTGGCTGCGCTGCTCAGCTCTGGGGTGTCAGACGAGCTTGTCCACGTCTCTGTGCCTCCTGGAGAAGTCTTAGGTCTCTTCCTGCTTCAAAATTCGTGAACCTCGCGGGGTCCAGGTTTCCCGTGGCCCATAGAGCTCGCTCCTTCCTCTTCCTCCTCTTGTTCCGCTCCATGGAGGAGGCTGGAAATTTGGTTGTGGGTTAGTAGAGATGGGGCTGGAAGCACTAACCTGGGCCAGGAAGCTGCCCCTCGCTGGCCTCTGCCGTAGGGGCGGGGAGGACGGAATGCCCACATAAGCGCCTTTTGCTCTTGAGAATGTGTTTGGCCCTGACAGATTGAGAGATAGAGCAGGCGCAGGAGCTGTTGGAGTGCACTGCTCTTGGTGAGTGAGCCTCAGAGATCCCTCTTCAGAGGTTGCCTCACCACTTTTTTTTAAGATAAGGAAAACCACTCAGCACCACATCCCCAAATCTGCTTTCTTTTAGTGAACAAGCAGAAGGTGTGCCCCAATTGCACCAGAAGCTGCTACGCTCCCCTCCCTGCCCCTGACTCTTTCTTGCAGCCCCTGGGGGAGCATCATCACCCACTTTGGGAAATGGCCGCTCTAGATCATGGCCCAGACCCTTGGGAAGCCCAGGGAGCTGAGAAGGGGGGCCTTGTCAGCTGCAGGCAGAGCCACTGACCACAAACAGGGGAGCCTTTGGTAAATTACTTTTTAAAAATTTTATTTCTTTTTATTAAAACGCCAAGGGCTGGAGCGATAGCACAGCAGTAGGGCGTTTGCCTTGTGCGCAGCCAGCCTGGCCGAGCTGGGTTCGATTCCTCCGCCCCTCTCGGAGAGCCCGGCAAGCTGTCGAGAGAGTATCTCGCCCGCACGGCAGAGCCTGGCAACTACCAGTGACGTATTCATTATGTCAAACACAGTAACAACAAGTCTCAAAATGGAGACGTTACTGGGCCCGCTCGAGCAAATCGATGAACAACGGGAGGACAGTGACAGTGAAAACACCATGACTTACAAAGTTGTTCATAATACAGTTGTTTGAGGCGTATAATGTGCCAGTGTGATCTTCCCTCCACCAGTGTCCCCAGTTTCCCCCCCACCCACAACCTGTTCCCTTTGGCAGATAACAAATTTACTGCATATCACTCCCTCCAACAAAACTTAAAGAAAATCAGTGAAAGCCAGTTTGTGACTGCCGTATGATTTTAGCCTACGTAAATAAGGAAATTAAAACCATTCAGTGCAATTTAATAAAAGGGTGGAGCTTTTTCACGTAGGGTTGTGCTTTCAAGAAACTAGGCTCGCTTCTTCCCAAATCCACGCCCCCCCCCCAAAAAAAATCCTCCAAATGGAACCCTTCCCACCATGCTCTTGGGGGTCCTTGATTGTGAGTTTCTCTCAGAGCAGAGACTAAGGGAGAAGAAAATATAAGGCATTCTAAACGTCAAATGACAGATTAAAAATAAAATCTGCAAATGTCGCTGAAAAATCTGAAAGTCACGTCAGCCTTAACTCCTGCTCGTTCTCACCTCTCTCCTCCCCGCTCCCTGGAGTTCCTCTAGGGGCAGCTTGTTCTCCAGGAGAAAAGCAAGAAAGAGAGGGGTGGCCATGGCCCCTTCCCCAGCAGGCCCTTCACTTTCAAAGCGAACCCCCAGCACACACGAGGGAAAATGAAGTCCAACGCAATTTAAATAAATAAAAGAAGGGGGGAAAAGTTTTAGAAATCTGTGTTTACTCTGGCACGCGACCGGTCTCCACTGCTTTTGACATATTAGGGAAAATTTTGGCGGGGAACCACTAGAAGCACTTAAAAAGGCATATGTTTCTTTTCAGAATACAAGGGACTTGGAATGTATTGTTTAAACAGCATTTTTATGAATCTTTCATTCATTTTAAAGGTACATATATGTCTGTTTGTTTCGTGTGTGTTTTCAGCAGTGTGGAATTCCTTAACTCTCTTCCTCAGACCATTTGAAATCATTATTTTACTGACTATTTTTGCCAATTGTGTGGCCTTAGCGATCTATATTCCCTTTCCAGAAGATGACTCCAACGCCACCAATTCCAACCTGGTAAGTGCGCCTTCCCAAGTCTTCGCCTTTCTTGCTTGTTGTGCAGGGCTGTGTGGGGTCCCACGACGAGAGCTGAATTGTGGGACACAAGTGAGCTCACGGACGTGTGCAAGAGCACCACCCAGCTCGGGTCCGAGAGCTGCTGTGCTCATTGCTCGGAAGAGCCCATCATTTCAGAGAGCACGTTTGCTGAAAGAATATTCTAATTCAGTGTCAGTAAGGTGTGTGTGTGTGTGTGTGTGTGTGTGTGTGTGTGTGTGTGTGTGGAGTCCCAGATCCTGTGAGTGCCACCTTATGCTGCATAAGAGGCGTGTGCAGTGTGCACAGGTGTGAGCTTTTTTTTTAAAAAAAATTATTATTATTATGTTTTTATTCTTGGCTCATTTTTTGCCTTAATTTGCAGTGTCTTTGTTCTGTCAGTGGGGTTTTGCTCAGGTGAGCTGTCGCTTCGCTGCCTGAGAAACCATTTCTAGGAAGCCTTTTGCAAACTTTGCCCTTGTGGCGAAGAGGTATGATTTAGTTAAAAAGGTTTTCTTTTCTTGGGAAAGGCGGGTTTCCATGTGGATGGTGGGGAGGCCGGTGCTGGCAGTTTGGGGCTAGAATCCGTCCATGGAAAAAGTGGAGAGTGTGTTTACTTTTGGCGGAGGGTGAAGTCATGACAAAGGCTCTGTCTGGGCATGGGAGGAAAAGAGCTCTGGAATGCTGCTGGCAAAATCAGGGTCCTTTGGAAGGCTCGATGACAGGGTGGAGGGAAGCCCTGTCTCTCACTCCCCTGGAAAGATCCTGTTGCCTTTCATGGGATTCCCTGGAGGCCAGTTTCCACCCCAAGCCCCCTCGGAGTCAGCACCTTCCCCTAATTGGACAGTAGAGTGTCTGAGGAGTTTTCAAAGTTTTAAGAAGCAGAAGGATTGCAGGATTCTTCTTTCCATTGTTTCCATTGGAACTCGGGTGGGGTCCTTTTGCCTTTTAACCTTTGCCATTTTGCTTTGGCCCCTTCAGCAACTAAATCCAAAGCATGTTGTAAACGCCCCGAGTTTCTGCACTCAGCCCTGGCCCCGCTTGGGTAAGATGTTTGGGGCGATCATGGCCACGGCGCCTCAAGGTTCAGCCGTGGGCAGGTTCAGAGCTGGCAGCGAGCACTGAGTGATGACACGGCTGGAGCCGGCCGGCAGAGCGCTAGCTGCCGTCCACGTGGCCTCTGAGGCATGACCTTGTCTCTTAACAGGCAAGAAATCTTGACTGTGTCAAAAGCAATACTGGCAAGTGTCTCTCTGGAAAAGCTAGCACTCCCTCCGTTGGTCGTAAGTCTCCTCCCGAATTCTCAGCCGTCGGCCACCACACTCTGCCGAAAACGCTACAGTTCAACTCTGAATCGTATCTTATTCTAGGCCCACGCAAGCTTGCAAGCAGGGGGAGGAATTTACTTTTGGGTAGACCCCAGGGGTGACTGCCTCATAGCGCCTCACTCTGCAGAGCCCAGGAGGATGAGCTGGCCCCTTGAGCAGCTATATTAGAAGGAAGCCTCGAGCTGATGAGGGCTGTTAGCCCTGAGGGGTCCAGAGGTGGGGGGATTAGTGGGAGAACCATAAGGAATGTAGTCTTGAGTTGGTGGATGTTGCTGGTACAGAGAATGCTCAAATTTCTCTTTCTTTCTTTCTTTCTTTCTTTCTTTCTTTCTTTCTTTCTTTCTTTCTGTGGTTTGCTTGTTTTGGGGCCACACTCAGAAATGCCCAGGGGGTCACTCCTTGCTCAGCACTTAGGAATCATTCCTGATGATGCTCGAGGGACCATGTGGGACGCTGGTGATCAAACCCCAGTTGACTGCATGGAAGGCAAATGCCCCAACCACTGGATTATCTCTCTAGCCCAGAGTGCTGGAGGTTCAGTGGGGTTTTGTTTGTTTTAAATCATACTGCAGAGTGATGGAAGTTCTCAGAAACCAGATGATGGTGGTGACTGCACCACTGTCTAACTTGACTGAAGATTGATGAGCCCTGTGCTTACAATGGGTGAATTTTCTGGAATGTAAAGGATAACTCAGTGAAGCTGTTTTTTTAAAAAAAGAATCACATCACACAGAAGCCGAGGCCTCCCATGCCAAGCTGCTGTTGCCGGTTGCGTTTCCATATGAAGGGGAGGATGATGGCTAAGGGGACCATCAGGGAGCTTGGTTGGGAATGGCTCCCTAGAAATATGGGTTGTACAGAGTGTGGGGTATGGAGCTGTTGCTTTCAAATTAGTGCTTGGGAGTAATATGGCAATTCCTACTTTTTTCAAGAGTTGTATTGATAGTGCCTTACTACATTAAGCAAGTATGCTTAGGTTTTCATGTCCTAAACACACACACACACACACACACACACACACACGCACACTTTCTTATTTGCTTTGTTACTCAACTTTCTTTGAAGGAAATAGATGGATTGTATATAATTTTTAATTTTATTTCTATGTGAAATGTAATTGACACTTAGAACACTATGTTAGTTTCAGGTATGCAGTGCAGTGATTTGATGTATGTACATATTATGAAATACTCATCACAATCAGTCTAGTTAACGTCTGTCACTGCACGTAGCTACTTTTACTGCCATGGGACTGAGTACCTTTCAGCTTTGCTTTCTTAGTATTCACTCTGCAGTACAGTGTTATTGTGAATTGTAGCCACCAGGCTGACATCCCATTCCAGGACTACGTATTGTGTAACTGGAATTAGATGGTTGAGCTGAGGTTTTTGTTTGAAGAAGATTCTGCATTTGCCATCTCTGCGGGGTTCACGTTTGCCACCTCTGTAGCCCTCAAGCTCTGCGTTCCACCCCCATCACTGGAATGTAGCAGATACGGATCTTAGTTGGCAAACTCAGGAGGGAAAGAAATGCAACTTGCTTTACTTTCCTGTTGCTGAACATACTGGTGGGTTGGAGACTGCACTTGGCCAGGTGCTAGCAACCTCATCCATGCTAATGCAGGGTTGTCGACTCCTTTTCTGGAGATGAGGTAGGTCTTTTTCAGAGCTACTGCCTTTTTGGACCCTGGGGACAGACTACTCTTGATATGGCCAACCTATTCTTTTGAAATAGCCTAGTCCTTCTAGAAGGATTTGTGTTTTTGGTCTGTCCTGGCAGCATGCTCACTGTTCCAGGCACTGTCTCTCCTGCTACTTTGGGTGCTGGGAGATGGTGACATTGAGCAGATTTCAGAATCCCTCAAGGACACTCTCGAGGTCTCACTGATTTGTGTCGCCTAGCTGACATGCCTGTGTTTATCTCCTTGGGCTCTTTGTCTCAGACAGGGTCACGTAATAGTCACCTGTCTGTGTCTTTCAGGTGGTCTTCATTGTCCTGACTTATGCCCTTCCCCCCGGAAGTGGTCTCTTTTTCTGTGCATTCCACTGCGTCATACCTTCTCTGGATCAGTGACAGCCACAGACTGAATGTGGGGAGGGATTTGGTGGCCAACAAGTATTAGGAAACCCCCCAAAATAAACAGGCCAAACTTACATCAGCTACTAGATGGAGACATTATTCTGGGCCACTCTGAGAGTAGCTCCTTGGGCCAACCTCCTCTTCATTTTCTCCAGAGCACGTCGGCACATTGTCACATACCCCTTTTCAAAACATTTTCCCCTCTGCTGGCACACTGGTGAAGTGATGGGTACTGGAACATTGTATGACTGAAACCCAATCAGGAACAACCTTGCAACTGTGTATCTCATGGTGAGCCAATTAAAAATCAACTGTTCAGTACATAACTTTAAAAACCAGGTGATTCATTTAAGAAAAAAGGAACAACTCTTCAGTATATAACTTAAAACAAACAAACAAACATACATTTCCCCCTTCTTGGCTTTGGGGCATGGTAAGCTTCCACCCTCACTTCTAGTTTATCTTTCTTCATTTATAGGAACTATTACCTGGTTCTTTCCTGGGTTCTCTGGTGAGCAAAACTCCTTCCACATTTTTTTTCATTTTTTAAAAAATTGAATCACAGTGAGATACAAATCTGTCTCCGTTCCATGAGAGCTGTAGGGAGAGCTGGTGGCAAGGTGTTCCCGAGCTTGCCTTAAAACAGGACCGGAGCATCTCAGTGGGATCTGGGGTCTGTTTTTATTTTTAATTTTATTTTTAATTTTATTATTGTAGCACTGTCCTGTAGCTTGAGTGGGCCCAGTAACATTGTGAGACATGTTGTTACTGTGTTTGGCATATCGAATACGTCACGGGGAGTTTGCCAGGCTCTGCCATGCGGGCGAGATACTCTCGGTAGCTTGCCGGGCTCTCCGAGAGGGGTGGAGGAATTGCACTGGGGTCAGCCATGTCAGCTGCGTGCAAGGCAAGCGCCCTACCTGGTGCTATCGCTCCAGTCCCTGTGCTGTTGCTCCCTGTGCTATTGCTATTATAATAACATAATAATTTTATTATTATTATTATTACTTTTTGGGTCACACCCGGTGGTGCACAGGGGTTACTCCTGGCCCTGCACTCAGGAATTACTCCTGGCGGTGCTCAGGGGACCATATGGTTGCTGGGAATCGAACCCAGATGGCCGTGTACAAGGCAAATGCCCTCCCCGCTGTGCTATTGCTCCAGCCCTAGATCTGTGTTTTTAACTCTGACATTGCCCTGATGCAAGAACCTCACTCTGTGAGGACAGTTACCACCTGAGAGGGGACCCCCTTCTATTTTCTCCTGGTCACTGTCTCCCCTCAACCCTCTGTGGGGTCCAGACACACAGTGAGATGTGTCAGTTGCTTGACGCTTCCCCATTCTGTGGGTGTTTTGCCCCAATTTCAGATCCCTGGCTGCGAAGAGACCAAATCCACACACTAGATAATGCAAAAGCAAAGGAACTTCGAGCTAGGGTCCAAGTCTCATCCAGCACAGTGAAATCTTGACAAGAACCCTGACTCCAAACCATCCGTGGTTTCTATAGGTTTCAAAGTTTCAAAGTTAAGCAAGCACTATGGCAACAGTGGTCAGGCCACGTGAATAGTAGTTTCC